TATATATATTAATTATGTAATTACTATTTTATATTATATTATTATTATTATATATTTATATATTATTTATAATAATTACAATTATTATTTATTAATAATTTATGTAAAAAGGAAATATTAATAATAATAATTAACTCTTTTATTATGTAATTCTATAAAATTATACATAATTAAATTCAAATGTGATTCTATTATAATATTATTAATTACTATCTTTATATAATTTTTTCTATAAAATTATATATAAAATTTCTATAAAATTCTTATACAATTTATAGATTTATATATTTTACTCTTTGAAAAACTAAGAATCAATAATTACAATAAACTATTTGGTAATATAGTAATATAGCAACAAAATATAATAAAAAGATACATATAATAACAAAAAGAACATATAAAATAAGATTTTAAAAAATATATAAACGATATAAAATATGATACATATTATAAAGGATTATAAAGAAAAATATCAAAGAAATTTTCAAAATATTGATATCATATATATTTTTTTTCAGGACCTCATAGCGATTGTGGGAGCAACTATAGGTGCCATGCGTATTCCTGAAAAATGGATACCAGGCAAATTGGATCTGATATTGAATTCTCATAATTTAATGCATGTGCTGGTTGTCTTGGCGGTTTGTTCGATGCATGCTGCAACTCTGCAAGATCTCACTTGGATAATCAACTCGTCTGCGTGCAATGAAACGATCTTCGTTCAATTAAAGCACGATGAACTGTGATGAAATGACATATATAAACATATTTTAATGAAGTCTGTGATAAAACAAGCCTATGCAACCGGTTATTTTGTTCAAACAACAAAAATATTTCATGACCATAAAGTATATATCTTTCTAATTAGTTATAAAAATAAAAGAATATGCATATATATATATATATATATAAGTACCAAAATTTAATGATAATAAAAAATAAGCAATATTCATATACGTGGAACAATAGAAGTACAAGTATAAGTACAAAATTTAACTTGTGATATCACAGAGAATATCATAAATAAATAATGTTCACTTTGATTTGAATGTTAATTCGAATTCCATTCTAAAATGCAAAAAAACATTATTCTTTAAATAGAATAAACTAGAATAAGCACATCAAAAATACGTTTATTATTGATTATAAGACTTAAAGATCCATAGTAATTTACAAGATGTGTTCCCAGACATTCGTTTCTTTGATTTGAATACACATCACTTTACAATATTAATACCATTCGTAAAAACGAACAAAATTGTTCCAAAATATTAATTAGAATTCATTTAATTCCATAGGGGTTTCAAATATTCATACATAAATTCATTGCTTATATATAAAGGAATCAAGATATAGGAGTATACGATAGATTCATTTACATTTGAAATTACACACACAGATGCATAAATTGATCTGTTATCCAATCGATAAATTTTATATTAAAAAATAAATTTGATTGAATCATTCTTTTCTTCCATATATTTGATTAAACATATGTTATGATAAATTTATTTTATATGAAATTAAGAAAGAGCATAAACCGCTCTTAGAATAGAATATCTTAAAAAAAATATTTTATTTGAATGAAAAAATTATTAATAGATAATATAAATGCTAGACAAATATATTTTTTTATACAATTGCATCCTTGCGGATCATTGAGATGTATTTAAAATTGCATATCTTTATAAAGAAATTTTATATTTTTTATAAAATTTGATCAAAACTAATTATAATTAAAACTAATTATAATAATATATTAATACATATATCTATTGCGTTGAAATTGTTTATTTTTTATCTTATTTCTATTGAATATTTTATAAATAATAAATAAATAAAAAACGAAAATAATATATTTTGAAATAAAAGCACCTATGTTAAAAGCACCATATATAAGTGTATGATAAACAATATATTAAATCTATGAATCATTCACGCATTATCTATATGAAAAATAATGTAGATGATAAAATTTAAGAGAAAACTGTAACGCGAGAATTAAATATTAGGTTAATAAAAATTATCTAAAAAATATTTCAATAATGACTTAAGAATAAAATTTTTTTCATTACGACATATTTAGAATACATTTTTATAAGCAGAAAAATGTAACATTAACGTGTAATACATCAAGAATGTATTTGTACAAGTTTTAACGTTTTGTTTGAAGAATATAGTCTTCTCTTAAATTTTCATTTCATTATGTATTTTTACAATCAAACCCACCAAATTTATATTTAATTACAATTACTGTAAAGGAGCTTCACTTTCTTGAGTATAACTTTTAACTCTGCTAAATTTAAGTGATGGATATCGTCCGCCAATAGCTGATACTCTCCATTCTCTTACAGATGGTTCCTTTAAACACATTTTTGCTTCATGGCCATTTCTATACTTTGTAAATATCGTATAACTTAACCATTTCAATTGCGAATTTAACCGTCTGTGGTGATCTTGAATTTCAAATTCCTATAAACAATGACAATTTTATTAAATTTTATTATAATTAAAAGTAATTATTTTAATATAACATAAATTAAAATTTACAATATGAAATGTTTGTTCTCCACTATCATGCATAGTTTCTTTTTTCTTTTTTCTATATGTACTAACTCCTTTTATTTCTTGTTTTTTGAGCATTAAAATGACGCAATTATCATGTAATCTATAATGACCAATAAGAACCGATGAATTGCGCGGAGTGCGATATTTTAAAGAATTTACACAACTTTGGGCCTCATCAGTTGAAGTTAGCATCAAAACTCTTCCTTCGGGAAAAAATCTATTTATCAAAGAAATAATATAAGAAACAATTTTTATAATAAATATTTTATCAAATTATATTATTACATACCTCAGGTACCTGAAGTATTCCACCAGATGCCAAGGTCTATAAAATCGATCTTGGAAACTATTTTCACCATCACGAATGTAACTGGTTTTACTAATATAACATCCATTATATCTCAGTCTAGGCCGTTGCAAGTACATATCTCTCCATGATTGATATTTTGGAGCATAAGTTCCACAATTCACACCCCATACTCTATGCAATTTAATCGCCACCAATTAATAATTTGATTATTAACAAGATTTAATAAGAGATATTTGAAATGATCTACCTAACACAAGCAAGTCTCCAGATTTCTGTATCTCTTGCAGATATATAAAATCCACGACATACTCTAGAGAACATTTCAAGAGATCTTAAATCAAGTTCTGAGGATACAACCCATCTTAAAATATATAATACTATTTCCATAGGCAAGGCAGAAATATGTGTTGTCTGAAATAAGGAATGCCCTGAAATATTTATCATGATATTCGACGACAATAATATCTATATATATATTTAAATATACATGAAAATATTTTTATAAATTATTATATAATTTTATATATAAATACTTACAGTTTGTTCAAATTTAGGAAAACAAACGCATTTATTTTGATTTATGATTTTGCATAATTTAACATATAAATCACTTTCTTCTTCATCTTCTTCATTATGGTTTCCAACATTATCATCAATATTATTTATGTCATTATCAAATCCTTCGTGACCATCATCATTTGTTTTTACTTTAGTTGATTCATATAAACGAAATTCAATATCAGGAACTAATAACACAGCACGTTTATAGAACTGAATTGCTTCATAAAATTTCCTTCTTTCCTCATATTCAATTCCTTTCAAAAATAAATTTTTTGCCTGAAATATTTATTTATGTTATATATATATACACAGATATTTTTCAATGTGCATTGATTATTGATCATACCTTGCTTTCAATAGATTCTTCATCATTAGAAACATCAACTTTAACTGCTTTTGTGGATTGAGTTTTTGGTCGATCCCGTTTTGGCGATATTTCTAATTCACGTTGCCATTGCTCTCTGAAAGATGTTAGAGCATCCTCAATGTTTGTTTCCGAAAAAGAAGATCCTTCTTGATCATCTCCACCATCATCTGATTCACTGGATTCACTGGAGTGACTCTATTGGTTTAATGAATTAATACATATGAATTATATCAAATTATAAATAAACAATATTTTAATAATAAAAATAAGAGTAAATTAATTGTATCAATTACTTTTTAAAAAAGTTTCTGAAAATGACGTTTTATTTTTCTGGTCCATTGAGGTTATATTGATATACATAACTTCTTACACGGTAACAATGAAAGGACAGTCATTGTTTTCAATATATTACGTACCATTATTTTTCCTGTTTCAATTTCCACAGTATTATTCCTTCAACCTTTGTACTCTCGGTCAGAAAAGCGTACCACACAGCGAAAGTACAATCTCGCCAACAAGACCGCCGCCATGGTTCTCGCTTTTCTGCTTTGCGATTCAATTAAAGGTCATATCGCTAGCTATAGAATACATTCTTGTATATTTTCAGCTGATGCAATCCAGTTTTAATTATTACGAATTCAAAAAATGATGATTTTTCAGGAGATCGATGCCATATGTTATGCATAATTATAGTATTAAAATTACGTAAGTCAATTTTTTAATGCATATTTTACGTAAGCATACAATAAAAGATAAAACATTTTTCTAAATAATATCAAATATGTAATATAGATATTAAACAATATGTATAGCAATAATTCATCATATATATATATATATATATATACATATCTAATCTTCTTATATTTATTGAATTCAATTATTCATATTTTTATTATTAATTATTTTAGTTCTAAAAAAATTAAATTTTAAATTAAAAAAAAAAAATTAAATTAAAAATTAAATTAAATAAAAATAAAATTTAAATTAAATTTTTTTAAACTAAAAATTTTTTAGAGAAAAGGATTATAAAATCATTGTAAAAAATTAATTTAATTAAGATACATTGATTATTCAATTTTTTTAGTCTTTTTTTTTAGCTTTACAGTTTTTTATTATATTAAAAATAATATAATTAATACTTCTTTTCCTTATTCATTTTCTAATACAGAAAAGATTTCAATATGAAATCAAATATTATTTCTATTCATCTCAAACTTGTAATATTTTCTTTTCTTATATATAAAAATAAATAAATAAAATATCAGAACATAATAAAAATAAAATCTAAATTATTAATATTCAAAATAGTAATAATATTTGTCTTTTAATTAATAATAACATTTTATAATTAATAGTATAAAACATTTTTTATATAAAAATACATATTCTTTTTATTATAATTGCAAATATCCAATTGTTTAAATCATATTATATAGAATATTAATATATTCCGAAATACTTATGGCGGATCAATTTTAGATGTCAAAGCAAATATTAGAGTTATATTAGAAGTATATTTAAGTATTAATTGAGATTTATTTATTAAATTATAAGCAATCTACGTTTGCGATAAGATGGAGATAGATAAAATGAAGAGATTGTTTTATTTCTATCACATTATTTCCGTCTTGCTTTATCTAATGCAAATCTAAATTTCTTAAAAAAATAATTTAATAATAAATAATTATAATAAATAATAAATAATAAATAAGTCTTAATTGAAATTTTTATATAAATTTATAAATTATATAATTTTATATAACAATTTTTGTATTTATTTTGATCTCTAGAATCATTTATCCAAATATATTTCATATATATTTAAAATTTTGTCTTTAAAAATTCAAAATAAAATAAAGAATTAAAAAATTTAATTTAAAAATTACAATTTAAGAATTTTTATTTTTATAGATACTGAAAATTACTTCGAAATGGACAATAAGATTGATGATATAAGAAAAAAATAGATTCATTTCTCATAATTTTTCAATTATTGTTTTATTATCATATTATTAATATAGTAACATATCTCAAAAAAATTCTTGATTTAAACTCGATGTAAGTATCAATAAAAAGCAAGTCATTTACTAGAGATTTTAGACTATTTTGTATTATAATATATATATATTTATATATATATATTTAACTCTTTATTTTATGTAATAAAAGTATAGATCGACTTTTGTCTCTTTTTTTGCATCTAATAACAAATATTTTTTTTTTAATAAAATTATTTTTTTAATAAAGTTTTTTAATAAATTTTATATTTTATTATTAATAAAAAATAGTCATTTTTTAAACATTTTAATAATGAAAACAATTTCAAATTTAAATAATTTTTTAAAAATTAAAATAAAAATTCAATTCAATAAATTATAAATTCTTGTTAAAAGTAATTAAAATATTAGTATTTTTTTTTATTTTAAAATCAAAGCAATAATTTTGTAAACTTTTTTTAAAATTTATAAATTTATAAAATAAAATTGTTATAAATAATCTCCTTTTCTTCTCTTTCTCTATTAAATTTTTCAATTTTTTATTTATATTAAATATAATTACATCTAAGATCTTTCGCAGATATTGAAATTCACGGATAATAATAAATCTAATTATGAATCTAATAAATATATTTTATACATATAAATACGGCCGAAAGTTATATATGTATAAATGAATACGACTTAAATCTTGGTAAAAAAATAAGAAAAAAATATAGAATAAAATTTATATAATAATATTTTGAAAGACTTTTTAGGAGGTTTTGCTTTTTAAAAAAATCGATCTTCAAATTTTGTTGATTATAAATGAAATTGTCTAATTTCCAATTGAATGAATTATATATATAGGAATGAATTATAGATGGAAGTTTATTCTATATGTGAAAACAAGCAAATGTAGAATTAATTTTATTTAAAAATTAGTTTTTGAAAATATGAATTTCACATTAATACGATATAACTTTTGATTATATATGTTCAATCTCGATTTTCTCAAAAATTAGATCAAGAACTTAAACAATAAAATTTTTTATAAAATAATTGTTTTATTGATAGTTTACTTGTATCCAATCAAAAATTATTAATTTCATTTGTACTTAAAAAGTTTTCAAACTTGATTTTTTCGAAAATAAAATCTCGAACGAAAAAATTTAATTTTATATATTTTTTTTTTTTATAAAGAATAACTTTATATATAT